AACCAATACTATTTGGAAAATTTTGTTTTCCCCAAAAACAGTTTTTGATAAACCTCACACACACACATCAAACACACAGACACATTGCAACCCTCTACACACACACTCACAAACAACTACAAATATAAATTTTGCCAAAAAAAAAAAATACCAAAAAAGAAATATCCTTTTAAAAAGGATAAAGGAAGTGAAACATTACAAAAAAAACAACCAAACAAGTGAAAATAGACTACTTCGTAGCCCTTGTGTAAATCCCACTTTTTTGAGAAGTTTTTAAATTTTTTTCTGTGTGGTGTCATAGTGCAAGTTTTTTTTGCACCCCTCATAAAAAGAAACCCCCCCCTTGTATTTTTGTGGATTACTACTACTTCTCTCTCAAAAAATATCATCATATGATGGAATGGCTACCAAGAGGATTACCCAGCATTCATGCGCCAATACCAATTTGTGGTGAGTCGTTGTTGGTAACGTTATCGTAAATTTTTGTAACTGCAAACTACAAATGGAAATACCTAACGAGAGTAGTTTTTTTAGGTCTTTTTAGTTTTGGTGTTGTAAATTTACAGGATGTCAATATGTACGAAAAAATATTGAAATTTTTTTAGAACAAAAATAAACTGAAAAAAGAGGGGGTCTTTGAAAGTAAAAATAATTTTTGGGGGTTATATAAGCGATCTGTTCAAAAAGCGTTAAAATACATCTCCGAAATTAGAGGATATATTTTCTAACTCTCGAAGATCTATAGCAGATTTTCAAATTAAAAAAAAAATAAATCCTGGAGGGGTTTATAAGCCTCTCAAAGAGCTCTTGAACGTATTTTCATACCTTCAATATTTAAAAATAGAATATCGTGGAATGTCTTCTGCCTATACTATATATTCCCTCTAAGAGGTTTGTAAAAGGTCCTCTAGAAAGGCTCTGCTTTACAAGATCTAGTATCCGTAAAAAAACTTCTTTCTTTATGAGAACTCTAGATGATATAGGAGACCACTAGAAATGATTAATCTATAGAAGACGTGCGGAAGGTCTAAGTGAATTTTATAGACATTAATTTTTCAAAAAAAAAAAAATGGAGAACGCCTGCTTCCCCATAGGATGTTTATCAGCTCTGGAAGGCCTCATAGAAGGCTTCATTTTTAAAGAATGTTCAACGAATCTACAGGACTTCTTTCTGTATTCCTATGGGATTTCTTCTAAAAGAAGTCGTCATGAAGGCCTCGATATTTCCTCAGTGAAGGAGTCTTTTAAGGGTAAATATCGTAGAAGGGTGCAATGTTTTCTGTCTGCTCTAGATATGTAAAAGGCCCTCTAAATACAGAAATCGTCTACTTTACATGGTTCATTATTCTTAAAAGTCCTACATACGTATTCTTTCTTTAGGTGAACTTTAGGTACCGTGCCTAAACCAGACCTCTACAAGTTATTCTCTACTTGGATGATAAATTAATTTTTTGAGATTTTATTTTCCTAGGAGGTTTTTTTAAGAATATAAAAATAATCTGCTGGACTTCTTTCTATCTTCCTATGGGATTTATACTAATATAAGTCCCCATAAAGGCCTTTATATATTTTAAGGTTGAATATCATAGAAGAGCACAATGTCTCCTATCCACTATAGATCCCCTCTCTGAGAGGTCTATAAAAGGCCATCTACCTACAGAAAATCCCTAGAAATCCTCAGGGTCTATTATCCGTGAACAACTTGCATACATTTTTCTCTCTTAAAGTTACTGAGGCCATAGGAGACCTCAAAAAAATTATTCGCTCTATAGATGATGGGTGAAAGATCTATGAGAATTTCTCGAGATGTTATTTTTCCCACAGAGGATCTCAAGAACGTCTTCGGCCCCTTGAAGGCTAATGGGAATTCCACAGAATTTCTTTCTATGTAATTTCTTCTAATAGAAGTCGTCAGGAAGGCATCTAAATGGGTTTTGGCCCCATAAAGCTCTTCTGTCTGCTTAAAGGTGGGTCCTTCTGTCTATAGAAGATGTTGGAAGGTCTATGAAAATTCCTTTTAATATTTCTTCCGAAGATCTCAAGAGATTTTGTTGCCCCTGAGAGACGTATGACCTCCATATAAGGCAACTTGAAGGTATTATTTTTAAAGGAAGGTCTTTCTATCTTTGGAGTTCTCCTTACCGAAGAAAGGCTTCCAAAAGGATTGCTATGGACCTCCTGTAGAAGAAATTTTATCTGAGAATTCCAAATTTTTTTCCCAAAAGTTCTCTTTATCTGGTCAATGAGGTATATTATTCGAAGTAGATCTGTAAAACACTTATTCTTTTAGGAGGCCCTCTAAATGGCTATGAGGTCGTCTAGAGGGTCTTCTGTCAATAGAAAATGTTGGAAGGCTTAAAGTAATTCCCTTGGAGACCTCCCTCCTGATGTCCCTAGAAGGCATTTGATGTGTTTATTGAAGAATTCTAGTAGGTCTTGTTTTTTATTTTAAAGAGCTATGAAGGTCTTCTTTTTATCCGATGGCCTTCTGGGTGGTTTTCTTATAGAAGCCACCAGAAGGGTCTCCGGTCTATGGAAGATCTCTTTATATGTATGCCATCAATATAAGGTCCGAAAAATCTTTAAATGATCTCTAAGCAATCGCCTAGTGATCTCTAGAAGGCCTTCGACAGGATTTCTCCCTATTTGAGGCTTTCGAAAAGACTGACGTCTATTGAAAACCTCTGTATTGTCTTCCACATGTCAAGGACCTCGATGAAAAAGCCCCCATTAAGATTTCCTACCTATAGGAGACCTATGAAATGTCTGAAATCTGTAGCAGTTCCGAAGAAGATGTTCTACTACTTAAAGACCTTGAAAAGTCATTTGTATACTTTTCCAAGACTATATGAAATACTCATTCTTTTGAAATCCTCCGTATAGTTTTTCACGTACAGAGAAGCACAAGAAGGCCTTCAATGTATAGAAGTCAGCCAGAAGGTATTCTGTTTGATATCTTTATGAGACGTCCGAATTCTTTCCACCCTTTAAAGACTTTTTGAAAATCCATTACTACTTCTTGTATTAACTTATAAGGATTTTTCCAGCCTGTATCAGACCTTCACAGCCCAGACTATTGAAGGTCTCGCAAAACAACTTTGAAAACTTATGGCGTCCTTTTTGGATATTTACAGTATATTCTGTCTCCAACGGTCTATGGAAGGTCTTCGTTTTACTGCCTGAGCTCTTCCCCAAAAAGAAGATAAGATCTTACTTCTTCACTTTCTAAGCTGTTTTGTGTTGATAATATTTCTAGGAGATTCTGTATATCTATTAGGTTAATAGGTTAATTCTCCTTTGGAAGAAAATTTGACTCTAAAAAAAGCCCTCCAAAATGCCTTCTATGTTTTGAGTATTGAGAATTTTTGTTTATATGAATGGCCCTCTCCATGGTCTTATTTCAAAATCAACCCTTTTTTTCTCTAAAAATATTTTGTCAACTAATTAACTACAATTCAACAAAGTTTTACTACATTTAAATATATTTTCTTCATTCATTATTTTGTGTTCGTATTTTTTTTTTCAAATTCTGCGGGTATTGTTTTCAAAATTTCTAATTAATAAAAAAATTGAGTACTCATATCTATCTATTACCCAATTCAGAACGGGCAGAGCCAAAAGGCCGCTTGTTTTGTTAATAAACCAATTAAAATAAATTAATTGAAACAATAATTTATTAAACAAAAAGAACTTAACTAATAGAGAAATAGCTCACAATTTATTTAGGTGAGTGGGGACTATCGTGCCTTTCTTTCAATTTCTATTGTTGTTTAGAAAAGTTCAAATATTTTGACAACACAACAATTAAATGTCACGCACAACAACTGATGATGTTGATGATGGGGGGACAAGCGGCAGCTAATAGTTTTTCTCGACACCGAAAAAGTATATAAAATAACATAATAGAAAACACTCTCCTGTCATTCTTAATGTTTGACAATTTATTTTTGTGCGTTTGTTGTGATCCCCCATTTTTTGTTCTTCTTCTTTTTTTCAATTGACTCAATGACATCTGGAAATTCTTAAATAATTTTTTGTTTTGTCTAAATATTTTTGATCTTTCATATATTTTTGTAAAGGAGATCAATTGGATTTTTTTTAGAAGAGAAGGGAATGTAAAAAGCGGGAAAGAGAGGGAGAATTAGTAAGGTATTTTAAATGACTGATACATGGGTAACTCTCTTGCATTTAATTCATTTTAAATCAGGCATGCTCGGACATACACGCTACCGTAACTGGCAGTCGTTTTTAATGATGAATTCTCAGTTACGCTCACCCACACTTACTCTCAATTTTGTTATGCCCACCACTGTTATAAACACATTTTTTCTTTTAAGAGATTTATTTTCTCTTCCCCAAAAATACCATCAAAGGAGAGAGCGAGAGGGATTATCTCTCATTCAAATGTATTCATATTTGATATTGCATTTCATCAAAGTTGGGCAGCCATGCACAATCAGCGTTGATGCATTCTTGCAAAGGTGATCATGGCTGCCCAACTTTGAAATAAACTTGCACATTTGTGTACACTATTCTCTTAGTTAGCCAGCCTACTACGTACCATCAACCCTACCCCATCCACTAGAAAACAACTTTACAACACATTCAAACAAATGATATGTTATTAATCTCTTGTATACATTCTGCATGGATGACGTCATCATTCTGTCACCTCATGCAACTCCTCCTTCGATTTCATTTTCACTGATGCTCTCTCACACTATATGAATTGATGGGAGACTAAAAACACTCTCTCTTCATTACTAAACAACGGAAGTTTTAAAGAGAGAGAGAATATGTGCCGTTAATTTCACACTACTTTAATTCCGTAACAGCCAAATCCCAGCATGCAAGCTCTCTCGCAATAGTAAATATCACAATACTCTCACACACATTCAATTGAAACAATTGAAATATCATTGATACACATACACACATCGACAAATGCATGAGAATCAAATTGTACGCTCTGTCCGAGCCTGCTTTAATTTGTCTTATCATTGTTGTGATATTTGCCTGCTCACATATGGTTGCCATTATCAAGAGTACTTTTCTACTGAGAGAGAGAGGCATTGGCTTCCTTGTTGTGTTATTAAACTTTCTCACACATGTGTGTGTGCGTTTCTTTAACACTGCATGTTTACACAGGCATATCTTTAACAAGAAAGCACGTGCTTATTTTTTGTTATCAATAGGTGCCGTTGGTGTTGTTATTGTTGATAATATATCCTGCTGTTCCTACTCTCCCTACTGCTGCTGCTTCTGTTGCTGCCGCCATTGCACCCCCTACTCGCATAAACAGTTCCCTTATTAGGCAGTCCATGGTAAATTATTATTGTTGTTGTTGTTTTTGTATTTATTTTTTGTGTAATAATAAATATTTGAAAATTAGTAGCAGTTGTTTGGTGTTGTTTATTTTAATGTTCAGCTTTAAGAAAATCCCACCATGC